GGATCGAACGTCCAAGGTGCCACAACCGAAAAGGTATGGGTGTGGTTCGTACACTTGGTTGGTTTGGAATCAGGGTTTTTGGTCAACCCTGGCCAACTACCAGTGGTCCACCAACCCGCTTATAGCCTCTGATGTCGGCTATTCGTACTCTCACTTTGGTTCAAAACACCTCCGCCACGAGAAGGCAATGAGCAGGGCTTTCTCAGCAGAGGCTGTTTGAGATGCTTGATCATATGAGAGCATTTCGCGAGGTGCAAGGTAAGGGTGATCGGCCTCAATCCTAGACACCCACCCCCGACCATATGGAGGCTTTCGGAAGCACCGGGTACCTAAACGTATTTTTATTACGTTGGGTATCATTTGTAAAGTTCAATAGCTTTTCTGCTCTGCGTTTGAATTTAAAGTAATGTATACTTAGACTATAGCCTAACTTTGCTAATCATTCAACTGTTTATCATGAAGTGAGCATCTACGAGTAAAAAGTGAACATATCTGATTGCGATCTTAACACCGCCAGTCGTATCAACCTAACCGACAACTCTCATTTTTTTGGCTTCATTCTCCGAAACTAATTCTCCGATTTATTTAGGTCGATCCAAACGGGGTCACACGGAGTCGGGACCGAATTCCATACAGGATCCGACCGAACGTGTAGCCAGATTGGCTACGAAAAGTCTCACTGCAATGGAGGATCGATTGCACGGTAAAATTACCGAACACGACGGGTTTAGCCAAATTCTTCCAATGTCAGCCGAGGGTCAGGTCAGTCAGTTATGTATTACGTACGCTTCAGTGAAGTCTGTTCTAGTCTGCACAGAGTTTCCATTACATCTATCTTGTTCCCGTCACTTCCAGGTGGACGCACTGATCAACGAGGCCACAGATGTGAACCAGTTATGCCAAATGTACAAAGGATGGATGCCATTTTTATAACATGTACATCTCTCATCCAACCGTCCCCACCCCTATCAACACAAGATTTTTCCAATCAAGTAGAACTATGCATTTTTCTCAGATTTGTATTTGTTTTGACCATAAATAAAATGTGCTGTTTTCTTTGCAAAAGGTAGACTGTTTAATACCTTCAATCGATTTTTTTAGAAATTCTCGATAGCCCTACTGCAGATAACGTCCGAAAGTCAATCACTCCGACTTGGGATAAAGGTGTTTGATGTCGAACTATCGGTCACAGTGTACATTCGTCAGTATTCTTTTCTACTGTCACTCTGCCAACAACTCCCCCATCCCTCGTGTAAATAAGATCAAACTCATTGTCGCTAGTTGTTCATGCATATATAGGAAATTGAGATAATACTATTGTAACGCGTTGTGATACTGCATATGATTCTACACTAGAAAATCGCACAAGTCATCCGGTTGGAAACAATTTCCGTAAAAAAACTACCCTATAGGCACTGAGTTTAAACAGTGCAAAATACTAAGAGCACCAAGCTTGGGTTAGCCCATTCGATTGTTCAAAGTCGACTATGTAGCTCGGATGTAAGGGTTTGAAGTCCCGATCCGAATGTTCGCGGCTCGAGTCCTGAGAGGGACAAAAATTGTATGTACTGCTAACAAGTCCCAAACAGGACGAAATAACTGTCTAGTGCTCTTTGTCGGTCATCACAAAAAATTTCCATCGCATTTGAATGCAAAATAAGTTTTGCGCTATACGCGGACTAGACCGAGAGTACTACATTTGGATAGCGAGATAATTTTCCATACTATTCGTAATGTCCTACACATTACCGTGGTGGTGGCGCAGTGGTTTATTCATTGTCACCGGCGTGCTTTGGACCCTGTGGTTCGAAGTTCGAGCCCCGCCACCCAACTTCGGTGGTAGACAGGTTGCTGTCGCCCGGTTCTATACCACGCCTGAGCTAGCGCGGGCCTTATGTGGTTCGCCACTCCAAGTCCTTGGGATTAGGTTGCCGGTTACCATCACTGAACGGTAGATCCTGGTAACTGTATAGATCCAACCCGTCTGCCTTCTAGCACACAGGTGCGTAATAAAAAGAATTGCCGTACGGTCTTTTAACAAAAAATGTAAGCTTCTTGGTTTCCCTCGGGTTTCTTTTTTTTGTGCACGTTTTCGCCCCGTTGGATACTTTGACTGCTTCTGTTTTTTGTCTTACTGGATAACTCCACACAAACGCTACTGGTCAGTGTTTAGTCTCCTTATTGCCAATTTATCTTACCTTATCGTCGAAGACTCTCAAATGTGGTGAAGTAATAATAATCCTTCTAGGACCACAATCTGATCGTCGTCTTCTAGATTTACCGGTCTTGATGCCACTGTTAGTCACCAAAACAAGACTAGTCTTGTGTGGCTCTGCCTTTTGACAGACCCTGGAGAAAGTAGTTCGCCCTGACTGTCTGGGTGTGGCGGAGTTCGGACGACAGTAGTGCTGCCTACCACCAAAGTCGGGTGGCGATGAATGGGTTCGAACCTCGGACAGTGTGGTCCGAAGCGCACCGGTGACAACCTGTCATACCCTTGAACATATGAATCATTAAGAAAAAACGTCCATATATTTATCAGGTTCATTATTTTTATCCAGTAACAAACATGAACAAAACGCCTTTTCGATCCGACGAAAAGCATCATCGACTGGTGTCAATTTCATGTGATTCGTACATAAACTGGTTTGATAATGAGGTCATATAGCTTTGGTTTCACAACTGATCCGATTGGACTTTCATCTGATTGACGTCTAAACACGTGACGCTGTGCTACGGGCAGTGAGATCTTATGCACATCAATCTGTCCAACTTCACAGGCTCGAGCTCGCTGAACGCTCAAGGACTACAAGGATCATGATGCGTTTGGCGAGAATAAAAACGTAATTCCGATTTACCTTCGTCCATCGATTTCGTAGTACATCAGGAATCAGCGTATAGTACTGTGGTTTGGTCAATAGCTGAGCGATTTCGGTTCCCTTCAGCATACGTTGAACAGTGACCTACAACATATTATTGATTTTAGATGGTGACGTATGTCGGAGGGCAATTACTTACTTCTGTCCACCGGAAGTTCGGTGTGCCTGATTTATTCTCGTTCGCCAACAGAAGTCGCATTGCTTTCAAGTTTCCAATCGGTTTATGCTCCACCTTGAATGAGTGCGGAAACAGAAATTGGGATAGTTGTTCAGTTGCCCGCGTTAGTTCTATCATGAATTGATTTATGTTTTTTCTCTCTCAGCTTATACTCACCCAAACATAGGACATCTCTTCACCCGGGTCGTGTCGAATCACAGTGATTGGCTGTGTCCACGAATTTTTGCTTCCAAACAGTTCGATTGTGAATTGTTTTGGATCGTTCAACTGCAACAACGGTGGCTTGATACAGATTTTGTATGACACAGTCTCTGCTGGTAACATGAGCGAGCCCGCTCGATTAGTATTGGACAGCACTTTGGTTTGAGCATTTCGTTTCGGTTCCGGCTGGTCGGGTTCTGAAACCGATTGATCACCAGTCGTTTATTGCATTTCTCGTTTTTTTATGCATGGATTGATACATTCATAAATATGTTGAAGTTGTATCATTTTGGATGAGAAATACACCGGAAGCTTTCATTCGAGGATACAAAAAGATTGCTATTCATTCTCAATGGACTTGTTATAAACGCACCATGAAATAGTGAGTTATTGCCGGTAATTCTTCCTCCAAGGTTGTCGTTCTCGTTAATACAGTACGAGAATCTGATCATCGTTGACCACCCACCAACCCACGTTTTGAATTGGCAGTGGGGAAAAATGATGTGGCCAGATTTCGATTCTCTTTATGGTCAAAACTGAAATTATTCGCCTTTAAAAACTACTAAATCCTTGGTTTATCAACTTTCGACAATAAACGAGCTCAGTTGGTTGTCTTAGAGGTTTAGCTTGACAAATTATTGACATGAAGCTAGCACCATCATTCGAACTTCTATCACCGTTAGCTTGTTCACCGTGACAGACAAATAAATTTTATTGTGAGTTCATCACTGGACTGCCTTGTTTTTGGCATTATGTAGCTGATGCGGTTTGTCAATTTTGTCAATTTTTCCACAACTAAAGAAAACAACTGACTAGATGAACCCGTACCATATGAGTCCATCGATTGGTCACGAACGCACAAAATCTTCAATTAGAGCAGACCGCCACAATATGGGCAATGCATTCCGTTTCGCCTGTTCGCCGAGCTTGGCAATTTGTTTACAATGGTTTCTTTCCCGGCCCGGGTGACACCATCAGTGTTTGTGAAGTGGCAACGCATCGCTAATCCGCCAGTTTTCTCAACAATAAAACACGCTTAGAGTCACTCGCTGAATTACTTACTTAATCAGTAGAATAGAGCAGAACTTGTACAAATTGAATTTTAGTCGAGTTTCACTGGATGAAAGGTGTCTATTTAAACGTGTTTCATTTACTTTGATACGCATATTTGCATGCGTATTGCACCCAGCACCGTTTATGCTGCTGGCTCGCTAGACGAAGATAATAATGTAAATTCGCATTTGGAATGCATGCGTCAGGAAAGTGGCACTCACTCTGGACGCCCGAATTATTTTTCGTGGCATATTTTTTGACAAATGAGCGATTGAGAATCAAACGCCTGTATTTCTCGTGAAACATGCTAAAGTTTAAAAAAGGAAAGAAACGTTTATCGAACTTGAATGATCAATTAAATGCTACTTTATCTCTCGATTTGTACAATTAGTAATCTTGCATTGTTGTGCCCCGGTTTGGGTTGCACTTTATCGGCTATTGACAAATGCAGACAGAAGTTTAAGGAGGGAAAATACTACTGAAAGCAGCAGCAAAATAAAGATACAGCATTCGGCTTCACGAGAAGTGCAAAAGCTCTAGGTGTATGTACAAGCATCACTATTTACAGCAGTCATCCATTGTACCTAACTATTGTATAGACCGGGTATGGTGTCCCCATTCGAGGAGCCCCGTGCGATATAAACCAGGTCCTTCGCGGCAGATCATTTACCAAGTAAATGTATCCACTTCCTTGCTTTACCGGGGATATGTATATATATATATATGTATTCGTAATTGAACTGTGCAGTTCCTCAACTGTCGCGCACTGAGTGTGAGAGTTAGAAGTTATATAACAACATCTGAGATGCTCCGCAAGGATAGGAACTAAACCCATTACTACTCCCTATCTCCAATAAAGATATAACCCGGGAGCTCTTTAATCCTCGTCTCATGTTGGTGTATGATGTGAAGTAAACCAGAGAATGGTTGGAGCAGGACTTAGATATTCTTAAGTATCAGCTCTTGACTACAAGAGTGAAGGACAACAAGAGATGTAGTGGATTGAAAACACGTCTTTGGGGAAAAACTCTGAGAGTTAACATCACAAGCTGAGCAGCACAATGATCCAATGTATTGTTGACTTTATAGAAAACAATTCTCCGCCCACATTTAGAATCTTGTAAACCGGCCTAGGTGCGGTTTTGGGAAAATACAGAGATTAGCAATAATACTGATCGCATGAGACAGAGGAGTCGGATAAATCCAGTTTCTTGAGGACCTCTAAGTACTTTTGTAGATGTTTTTGAGGGAGAAGTGGAGACGAGGCAGTTTTATCGTTTTTTGTCTCCAGTTCTTACGAATATTAACCATTCCATTTCGTGCTCCGGTTTTGGTTGTTGTCCTTGGGTTGCCTATTTGCATGAACAGTAGGAGAAAGACAATAAAGTTGAAAGTAGTGTAGAAGAGAAAATTAAGAATTTCAATGGACTACAGTTGCAAAAAAACGAGAATATGCACGAACGCCACTGTTTACGACACTCAGTCATATCACACAGTGTCTCGACTACTGTCCAAGGGCTCTCTAGTTTAAATATTTATTATCTAGTTTCGTTCACTCATGGGTACGAGATATGGAATGGAAAAAGCCGCTCCTGAATCAAGTAATGGTCTAGGTTGTTTGATAATAAGGTGATACCACTGTTAAACCTTTATATTTGACGGACCGTATCGATATCGACCACTCAAGAGAGCTTCAGATGAGTAATCGGCAGAAGTACTAGCCAAAAGTAGGGAATATATATTCTAATACTAATAAATAATGTTTTTTTATCGAAATTGGTCAGATGATAAATCTTAATTTCAGTTCATAATTTTAAGATGAACGACGCTAATATTCCACGGCGTTCAAAATCAGCTGGTATATCTGACTCACGTTTAATGCCCTTTGGTAAGGCTTTCCTGGTTTACTGCATGGTTTTGTTTATTGAAGTATCCATTTAATTTTATGGTGATGAGCCACCTTTGGAAATTAATACTATTGTTCCCGACGAAGATTTAGACAAAGTTCGATCGATTCCCAATTATGGCTTTATTTAGTCAACAATCATGAAAATCTTCCTAAGCGTGCTATATTGGGAACATGCCGATTAATCGTAGTTGGCTGTAAATTGTCAGCCAATGCCACTAACAAAATCCGCCGTCATCTCCCCGAGAATTTTCCACATTTTCAACCAGATTATCGAAGACTATTGTAACGGTATGTGTGCATGCACACACCACACTTTTGTCACTCAATTTAGGTGGAAGGTGGTGAGTCAACGCGATTGCGTCTAACCAGACTGTTTGTATAACTAATTTAGACTATATGTTTATAGATGTATGTATATATATGTATATTCGATAAGCATTCCATCATAACTGGTGTCATTCATTTTTAAATGTATTGGTATACACCCATGTAACGGGCATACCCAGTATCGATTTCATACATCTCTACTTCAACCACAAAACTATTATTTCGGCCTTCAGTATTGAGAGCAGAAGGTAGGGTACCCATGTAAGCCCCATCTCCACTGGGTCGAGAGTCCGATCACAAGTGTTCGTTCCTCTATAGCCCCTTCAGGTGCTCATCCAAATGCCGTTTGAAAGCAGCGTTTTTCTTCTCCACCACGGTCGTTAGAAGGGGATCCCAGAGTACTCTGGAATTCCCTTTCAAAATTTGTTGTTGACCTCCACGAGAGTCGGTAGACTAACGGAAGACCAACTGGCTGAAGTTTCCGTGCAGCACATTACCCACGGGGACCCTTCCTACCGAAATGATCGTTATGTATACTGATTACTCATAAGTAGTATCAAATGTCTTATTGACTATAAAGCAGAACATGGATTAGTTATATATTTATTATGTCAATCATAAGTATAAAAATGCATCTAGTGGATGTTCAACAGGGATTCAACTGTCTGATATGTTGCAGAAACTTATCAATGTGATTATGGAACATCTGAATTGAAAATTCAAACCGCATACGGTATTGTACTTCATCTTTAGTAACATGGCACGTTCAACTTTTGCCAACGAGTCCTTTTCTACTCGAAACAAGATTTTGCTTTACCAGGTGCAACTACCTGTTTACGCTCAACTGCGGAATTGTCACTTGTCCCGGTGAGTCACGCTACCCCGTTGCAGATCTCGCTCTTTAAACCGTTGGTTACGCGTTGTCCGTCTTCTTACCTGTTCAGAGCAATAGTCGTATGGCTCTTCACCGTGTTCAGTAACGTTGAGTTAATTTGCATTCATTTATCGTAGATAGTACAAGCTATCTAAACATCCAGATGGTCCCAGATCACGTCACTGACAGATCCTGTTACATTCTTGAGTCTGCGTTTTGTACGGCTCCAGAATGCACACGCTATTTGTGTGCCCTCTCATAGTAGGATTTTTGATATCACCCGAGTGATTACCGCACATATGAATATATCCCAAAGAACATAATGAACGGTACGCTCCCCACTGGTCTGTGTGCACTGTGGTTCCAGACACCACCCAACTTTTCAGTATAGGCAGAGTTTGGACGTTGATCGATCTTCCACCTGTTGAAAATGGCCTTTTGTTAGGTTTCGATCATACAATGTTAGAAACAAAATGATCGGATACTACCCTACTGAGACACCTCATTAGGGTTGCCTAAGCGAAATAAATAAATAGGGAATATCATTTAAAAATGGGAGAACATTTACCATACACAATACCATGGAAAAACATTGAAAAGTGACCAAACTAAAGGGGGTCGAAGATAGTAACGTTACAAGCCTAGGGAGGGGTCCCCAAGGGTAACGTGCGTCGGGACTTAAGGACGTCCCGGATTTGCAGCAGTAAACTTTTTAAGTATATCGTGTTGATGAACCGTCCATGAAGGGCCGAGTGTATGCTGCGACAGCTTAATCGAGTCTCCCGATCAGGGGCTTGAGCACATCGGGATCAGCGTAGCTAATGTTTAGAGACATTGAGTGATGTGACTTAGTGTCGCAAACAGTGGCTTTCATGTATCTTCCCAATTTCCTTGCAATTGGAAGTGGACTAAGGTCAATCTTAATCCACTGTATACAATGGAATTATATAATTCGGAATAGAATTATATATATATATATAATTCCGAATTTTCTATACGACTATACTTTTACTTTTTCTGTCTTTTTGCTACTGCCCCATCCGAAAAGACAGGTAAAAGACGGCAACCAAAACCGACACACAATTGTGCATGGGAAAATCACTGTTAACATGTATATGCATGTTAACAATGATTTTTTGCTGCTACCAGTTATGCTGCAAAGTGGATTCTTATTCACGAAATTATGTATCATAACAGTGCACAACAATAAGCTAATTCGTGTAATTGAGGTTTGAATAGCCATTTTGTGTTGAGTCATTACTTCCGAACGAACTGTCGAAGAGGCTGCATACAACGTAGTCATGGTTTTGTCGTTTAAAATAATATTCAAGGTCAGTGGAATCCTGATAGCAAGTTCAATTTAGTTTTCACAAGATGACTTGTGGCTTTTGCCAATCGAGCATCCAGATTCGTGTGTTATCGGCCAGTTTCTTTGGCTTTCAACATTTCGATATGCAGTCTTTCTGAAACGCAGAATAGTGTGGTGCAGGATCACATTTATTGTGGTTGGGTTATATTTGGTAATAAACGCTTACCTCAAGGAAAATCGTTATCCAACGCTCATCAAATGCCTTTTCAAACGCATTTACAGTACTGTAGCTTATCACTGTCAGCGGCAACCGGTTTCAAAACGGAATTACCCTGTTAGTGAAAACATTGCGCTTGTAGTGACTATGATTGTACGAAGAAAAAGAGCAATCTGTGGGGACGTTTTCCGTTCATATTGTCTTCAGAATCAACTCTGACTCCAACTGCGATACTTCTTTGTTTTATTTCTGCTTGTTTTACTGAGCGCGGGTTTCCGCTCAGGTGTATATATAAGCTAGGTCCTGTTCAAACCCACGCAACACGTGTGACACGTTTTCGCTTTGTTACTGCATTTATTGCTTGCATTGTTTAGCGTCACCTCGGCACGTTTCGGAACTATCTAGTACCACGATTCGCCAATAAACGTCTAGTACCCCCACGAGTGCTTTGTCTACCTAGGGCAACGAGACACTAGGAGGACGCGCACTTTGAGATTCGTTAGAAAACTTTTAAGCAGGCCGTCAATACCCGTCAGCTTTATTGACGAACCAGCAACGTCTACTTTGTAAGTCAAATCCACTTTAGTTTGTGCTTGTTTCTCACGGTTCACTTTCATTTGTACGATATAGTTATTTATCGCAATTGTACCATGGCCGAAGAGTATTCACC